GAGCCTACTTGTTGAGGTCCTCACTTTCCATGCTTGTTGATTAAACACTTTGATTGTTGCCTCCGCAGTCGCCGTAAAGAGGTTCGACTTACCGGTAGTTTCCGTCTTCACTTGAGTGCTGAATCCTGTAACAACAATGATCAACAGGGAGGGTGATGCAGATCATTTTGTTTGCAAATGGGGGGGCGCTGCGCCCCCCCAACCCCCCCCCGCCTTTAATGCCATCCATGCTTCATGTTATCATGGTTTTCATAACTTCTCATCATTTTTCAACATCAGGCTTCATAATTTGCTGTGTTCATCGTTTTTTCCATCATTTGCATCCTAATCCTTTTCATCATTTGCATATTTTTCATTTTTTCATTCTTCATTGCTCATTATGTTTCATAATCTGTCATCATTGTTCATCAGTTTTCATGATTTTCATCACTTTCTTCATTTTTCATGATTTCGCATCATTTTCATCGTTTTTCCATAACTTTCTATCATTTTCATGTTTTTTCATCATTGTTCTTGAATCTTTCTTCATTTTTCTATAGTTGTGTTCTATAATTTTCCAGTCGTTTGTCATTATTCTTCATTTCAATTCATATTTTTTCTCGCAATTTTTTTTAATGATTTTCATGATTTTCACAATTTCCTATCATTTTCATCATTTTCATCATCTTCATAATTTTCCATCATTCTTCATCATTTTCATCATTTTTCCTCATTCTCTGTCAACTTCCAAGTATTTATTACTTCATTTTCTATCATTTTCATAACGTTACATCTTTTTCTCTCATTTTTCATGATCTTTGATTTTTCATCATTCCTCACAGTTTTGCCTCAGAATCGCGCGCTCGTGTGAGGCGTCCTTCGATTCCGGGCCCCCAGCCCGACAAAAAAGGAGTCACCAAGAAAAAGACAAAGTCACCAACAACAACTGCACCCTTTTGTTTCTCATGCCCTCTGATCACCAGCGGACTCGGATCACTGGAATTGACTTAGCGCACTCGCCGCTATGCAATGGCGGCGTGTCGGCATATGGCTTGGATCGGCAGACCACTGAGGTTGCTTCATGCTTGATGAAGGACGTCCAGGGACCAAAGCTGCTCTTGGCCACGATACCTCCGGGATGGATTCTCGGAGCAACGGCCAACGTGCCTTGGCCAAAGCTCCATTCTCTCTCTCATTCTTCGCATTTCTGGTTGAGCAAGCCAGGTCCTGATCAGCCGCGTCTTCGTGCAGGAGACGGACCGCGTGGTTCTGGGATCGACAGGCCCGCTTGGAAAGCACGACTTAATTGCGATCCGAATCACATCCGCAAATCCTGAGTACGAGCGCTTGACCTTTAACCACCGTGGTACTGAATGTAGGCAGTGCGTGGGAAGCTTTCTGATAGAGTCTGACGGCAGCAAGCTTCTGTCCAGGATTATCGATGCTGCTGCTGTGTATCCTTTCAATGGATGCAGGCAGGTTGGTCACGATGTGAAATTCGCATTGTAGCGACATCAGCATCTTGCTGCAACAAACTAGCTAAGCAACCATGTCCAAATTTCAGTTGGCGCGTTGCTTTTAATCGGACTCTGTATGCGAGGCAGGTACCTGATCCTCGCAAAGCCGGATGATTTTATGAGCCTCTGCCCTTCTTTTGTTGTCTTAGGCTATCGAGTTTTGTGCGTGCAATCTTTGTTTGAAACATGCGTCTCTGATGCTGCTTTCCTCAAGGAGAGTCGTGGTTGCAATGAACTCCACCCTGATGGTCGTAGCCGCTCGGAGTTTAACAAAGGGTGTGCTTGGGCCAGACGCAACTTGTTTTGATCAGGTGAGCATTCCGTTCTTCGTTCTCTCCTTCTGTTTCATCCATACCGGTGAGGCAGGAAGGATTCACGCTACATGACGGGAAGACACGAAGGTGGTGTATGCGCCCAACGACGCATAACTTGTCATTGCGCATTTGGATGGAGAATTGCTGTCAGTGGCCGCTGACATTTGGGGCTACTCGAACCCCTTATAAGGCAGGCGAAGCAGAACTGATTATATCAAGAAACAAGTTATCAACGACAGGTTGCAATTTGATGTTCAGCTGCATGCCATAGATAGGCACCATCTGCAAAGCTGGTACTGCTGAACTGTTTGCAAATTGTTCTGGCAGCCGGGGAACCTGTAGCCTGATCTTGTGCGCTCTCATTGCAAGCAGGGCATCTTGAGCAAGTTGGATTTACCTCTTTCACAGGCAGTGATTGATGATGATGTGGAGAGCGTGGTGGAGGTGGCCGGGTTGATGAATCCGTTTTTGTTCGGGTACCACTAAGTGTGAATCAGCGGAGTGCGCGGCAATTTTAGAGCGGCCGACAGACTAGTTGGATCTTGTTGGTTGTGTGGAATCTGTGCGTGTTCCGCGCAAAGCATGAGAGCTGGAGCTGTGTTAAGGGTCTGATGTAGAAAATAATCTTTCCGTGGATTCTGTTTCGTATGGCCTTATGGGACCGCTCACTTGACTTGCCATGCCTGTCCAGACAGATTTCTGCCATTATCTTGTTGCTTTGCTATACCAAAATGCACTCATTTGCATTATGACATTAAGACCGCTACAGAAAAAGGGCAATTGCTTATCATAACACCGCAAGTATCATTCTGCCGCAATCAGGTTTTGTTTTGGGTCATCATTTCTTGTGACTTAACTGTGTCTGTGTAGGCCAAGTTTTATATGATTCACAGTATCTTGTTCAAGCGATTGCATTCTTCATCAGCCTTGTGATGCGATACTGTCATTTTCTTGTTGCCACGTTCATGTGGAAATGGCACATGAGCGATGCGCTGCTTGGCGCATTGGGATGGGCCTGCACCTTTATTCGAAAACGGTACTCCAGCAGCTACCTGGGCCAAAGGCAAGTGCAGCTGGCATTCGTTCGAGTGAAGTGATGTCGCAATCGCATTCGCGCTTCTGGTGGCAGCTGGTGCTGTGCATTTCAATTGGTCCGGTCTTCTCGCCCCCTGCCTGGACACGATCCTTTGCGCTGGACTTGCGTTGCCAACAGCTCCAACACAAACACCGTGGCCGTGAACACATTGAGTCTTCCCTCCCCACGGCGGCGAACTTCTGCCGAATGCGCTGCCACGGATAACCTCGGGTTCCCTAGGATTTGCGGCAGGTCGGGGTTTCCGGCGCTGTGGGATACCTCTCTGCAACTAGAGATTCCTTTCTTCATCTTTCTTCGCTTGCGGGGTCGCCATGCTCTGAGCATCCGACGTGTTGGCAACTCTTAACTTAACTGCATGGAAGCCTCGAAATCCTGCAATTAACGTTGCTGATTTTAGCAATTGAGCAAAGCACTACGCATCCGCTATGCCGAGACAGCTTGGGCATCTTGGGCTATTTGGTCATAAACCGGGGGACCATGTCAAAGTGGACATTTTGGACCCCAGTGCCATTTGTACAGCCTGTTCCAGGCATGCCAAGAAATTTGGTGATTCGGAGTCGACCTGAATAGCTGAGCCGGAAGCAGATGCTTGGAGGCCATCGCAAGTGTGTTAAATGCTTCGAAGGCGGTGCTATCGATGTCGAGAAAAAAGTAGCCCATCCATCGCCACAAGGCGGTCACGAACTGGATGATCCAGGAGGATGTCAGATAGGTTGTTGGTGCGCCGTCGCAGCAGCAGCGCTGAGAATGCGCTTTTGAATCCACATCGTGCCAAAATGCGGGCTTGCACTAAAATCATTGTTTGCTGTACGGTTCGTCTGAAATTAACAAATGAGCAACGTGCTGCATGATTAGGCGGAACCTGCACCTTCAGTTATTCGAAGGTGATACACCAGCAACTTCTTGGAACAAAGCACAGGCGGCCTGCTGCCTGCATTTTCATTTCCCCGACCACTGATCCTGGAATGTCCGAAGGGCATAAAAAGGAGCCCCAGCTTGGGCCACATCGATTTGCGGGTCGTCGTGCATGGTCAGCGAGTGGATGCAGCTTTGAGTCGCCATCACGACAAAATGCGATCTCTTACTCTTATGCAACTCGAGAGTGGAGGTGGGCTTTGCACTGAGCACGCGGTTTAGGGTTTGGGGTTTCATACCTTGCCAAAGGCACGAAGTTTGGTGATTTGGACAATTGTTTCCACGTTTGTCATAGGGGTGAGTGTGGAGGTCCAATCTGCGGTGACCTTCAGGAGCCGAGCCACGGGCCCAGCATGGCCCAGCAATTTTGGCTTTCCGCGCAGAGCTCGCTTTCGTTTGCTGCTTCAGGCGATGCCTCGGACAGACGCGCTGCGACAGGACACCGAAGAAGCGAAGTTTTTGGCAACAGCTATCAACAGCTGGTCGCAAGTTTTGCATTGGCTGGGGCCCGTCAGGACCCAGGTCCGCCTCAGCCCGTGAGGTCGGCTTCTGCACCTCGGGTTACGATTACGACAGTTCCAAGTTTACAGGCCATCACTAAGTTAGCAGATACCATTTCCAGTTTTGAACCTATTGTGATGCACATCGCTCTTGTGTTCATATGAGTGTCTGAGGAGCCTGCGCTCACCTTCAGCCTGTAGGTCTCTCTGAGACTTGGCCGCAACCTCGGTGTCCAGTCCAAAGAACTTTGCACACTCTCGATGCCTTTCAGCGGGTTGCCACTTTAGCGGAGGCCTGCAGCGCTGTCCACAACTGCCAAGCAGCAAACTGCCTAGAGCTGTAGGCTCCACTGCCATTGCGTGTTCCCATGCATGACAGGTCACACAGACCTGGGTTAACGGTCAATTACGGGTGGCCGCTTGAAATGAGCTTCCACTCCACTAGGCATCTTTTGGCCGTCACTGTTTCTTCAGCTATAAGTCGGCGCCTGGCGTGTGCAAGAAGCCTCGCCGGGCAAACCTCACGTTCCAGTGCATACAGCGTATACAGCGTAACCTGTACCACCTGCATTCATTTTCAATTTTCAAAGGTCCTTAGCTCGTTTCTGGCCTGCGCTGGCCGTTCCACCAAGGAGTACCTTCCCCATCCACGATAATGTATCGGTGCTGGCACAGAGAAAGTTTTAGACTCAACGTCCAGCGGAAGACCGAACACCTGTTTGTGCTGCGGGCCTTACCCAGCACGCAGGCTCAGCCATGTACACTATGACCTCGGAACCGGCCGGTCCTATGCACCGAACCCGCCTCTGCTTTTGGCCCGCTGGCTTTCGCAAGCGACCAGAATGTTGATGGTGGCCACGGACCTTTCCATGGCATAAATAGCTTCTACATTGCCTTGCGGCACGTGAGCTCAACAGACTGCCCAGATGTCTGAGCAAGACAAAAGTCAACGGACGTCTTCAAGACTTGGAAAGCAGCTTTTGGCAGCAAGAAATCTACTGCTTGTACTTGAGCTTGTGACAGGCTTTGGCTCAAACTAAATCCTCCACCGGATAACAAGCAACGTGACAACTTGAAGCTGCAAGCGCACTGGATTTGGTGAAGAAGCTGTGGTTGTGGAGTGGTGGTGTGATCCCAGTCACAAACTGAATAGCTTCGCCTTAGTAGGGAGCTTTCTCTTGCCATGTCTTCAGCCTCGGGAAGTGATTCCTACCACACGGTTACTGACCACACAGAGAGTGACGAGGATGATCCCAACAGCTGGGGACAGAAGCCGCGAAGGGGTGGCTGCAGGCCACTCTTTTAAAGACTGCTCAAACGCATGGAAGCCATTTAAACCAGTCTCTACGTGTTTGCACGTGCGTGCGTATGTGAGCTGGAAGGTGTCCACCGTTCTGCACTGCTAGCCGCGTCTGCCACGTGTGCTATGCGGCTCAGCTTGCACCGTGGTTTCTGCGGAGCATGCGTCCAAGTAGAAGTAGGTCTACACATGTTGGCATGTGGTGCCCTGGCAGATCTGCCAGCTTTGCTTGTACCTGCTGGTCTTCCCGTTGTGGACGAAGTGGCTTGTGACTAGTCCAATGCCAACCCGTTATTGGCATCAGGACGGGACCGACTATCTGAACAAAATTACATGCTTATCCGATCATTCGAGTGGCAGGATTTTCCCAGCTGGCCGGTGATCGCGTCCCCTGCGGGTCGGTCAATTGCCCTGGAAGCACAGGGCAGGGCTATCGACATGACACCGCTCCCAATGGACTCGCGCAGCTGCAACTTGACCGTAGAAGCATTGTTTCGCTGCTTAGAGTGAGCAGCTGTGTGACAATCTTACCAGCTTTATGCAGGCATTGGGAGTGCCAAGTGTTTGCATGCTCAGGCAACTATTCCTGCTTCTCGAAAGGCAACTCTGGTGACACGGCTTCTGTCGGCTTTGAGGTGGGTTTTACTTGAGCTTCTGTAGTCTGTGGCTTTGCTTAGGGTAGAGCTGACAGGTTGGTCTCACGTTGAACGACCCTCTGCTGATCAAGAAAAACATCTACGCGGTGTATCCGGTTCTTCTGGCATCCGAGAACTTTCAGGATTGGTGGGTAGCTGCAGACAGACGACATGCTCATCCAACTCCTTTTTGGAGATCACGTACTGCTACTGAAATGGGCATCTATACATACGTATCAGAGGATGCTCGGCTGCAACTCCAACTCTCGGATGGTGTGAGTGTCATTTGATAGGGTGTAGAGTGTGGAGCCTGTGGAGTGGAGAGGCAGGTGACACGATGTAGCTTTGTGAAGATAACTGCTGTTCAGAAGCAATGGCCTGACAGGATGTTATGCATGTGGCGTCAAAGTCTATTCTGAGAGAGGAAAAAGGAGCTACTCAATAGATGCGCTTCGTCGGTTTATGGCTGAGCCGAGGCGTGTACCAAACCGCCGCAGAAGCGGACGGACGTATCTGAGGCCTGCAGCACACGTTCCGAGGTTTTGGTGGCTGACGTTGGCTTGCTGACGCTCAGGCCGTAGGCTTTTGGCTTTGCCACTTTCTGGCTTTCTCGCATTGCCATTTCTGCTTCTCAGCTTTCCTACCTTACTGACTTGTTGCTTTCCCGATTCCTTGCTCCTTGTCGTTTTTTTGCTTAGCTTGACTTCTGGTCTTTTCGCAGTATCGGTCGAGCTTTTGCTTGTTCAGAGTAGTAGTGGAAGCAATAGGAGTAGGAGCAAAGGCTGCCATTTTGAACCATCTCGTAACTGATAAGCAAAAGTAACGACTCAGCGAGTCAACGAGCAAGAATTAGTAGCAGCTGTAGCAGAAGAAGTAGTGGGTGGCGGTGATACTGGCGGAGGTAGGACTAGTGCCAGCAGTGAAGAATGGTATTAGGAATCATGGTGGGGATGCGGCAAAGACTACGGGCAAGACTTGTAGAGTAAGCTATCGCGTCTATTGCCGGGGGCTGTAGGGCTGCGTTTTTCGGGCGGCGGAGTGGCCCTCTCGGCCAGAGAGAATCCTGCATGACTTGAATGCCTTACAGTGCTAGGACTCGCAGGATTGAAGGGACTTAAGCTAGTGCATACTGTCATGAATAGGACTGGTAACGGTAACGAAATGACACCAGTCTTACTGATAACGGCAGCGCAATACTACCAATAGTGCTGGTAGCACTAGCCTTAAACATGTGTGATCCAAAGAATACTCGCTATAGCGGAAGGACGGATCTGCAAACACGAAATTAGCATGCTAAGACGTTCTGATTCTGTGCAGATTCAGAGTCACAAAGGTAAGCGGGCTGCTGGGCTGCTCTGTGTGAAAACATTGCTGCCTTTTTCCCACGAGATTTGGGCTTGCCTGGTGCATGGGTATGGCGGTTGTGACGCCGGATGGATATATTTTTGGTAGGTAGTCAGAATGGCAACCTCACGAGTGCTCAGATTTGCCCCCTGCTTTCCTCCTCAATTCCTCACAGCCATGGCTTCACAGTCTGGCATGGATGCTGTAGCAGCCCAGATGGAACAGATCAGGTTGCAGAGCGCGCAGCAGTGCTCACAGCCACGCAACAGAGCAGCCAAGGCAACCCTGGATCACGCAAAACACATGGGGTGCAGGACAGGGCAACAGCGCGTGAGAAAGGAGACAAAGACGAGAAGGTCGGTCTACGCAAGGAGGTTCGCAAGCAAGCCAAGCGCGACAAGACGCAGTGGTTGAAAGACAGGTTAGCAGAGGAGCAACCGCTGGATGCACGACAATTGAAGTGGATCAAGCAGATCCGCACGGACCACAACCCCCGGCCACTTTCCATTCTTGGCAAAGACGGCGAGCCCACCAGCCGCTTTTCCTTGCTCACAGCCAATGGGCTCCACCGGCCCAGGCCTACACAGGAGACCGCAGCCAGATCCTGGACCACGCCGACGTCAGCACATCTCGTATCAGCATGGAGGAGCTTTGGGAGGCCCTCCGAAAAGTAGCCAAAAACAACGCGGCAGGAGTTGACGACATCCCTACGGAGGCCTGGCAATGGCTAGAGCCGAGCAGCCGCCAGTATTTACTGGATTTGTTCAACGAAGCCATCTCCTCACAAGCAACTCCACAGGGGTGGCAGACACCCTGGGTAGTAGAGATCTACAAAGGCAAAGGGTCGATGGCAGACCCGAACAACTATAGGCCAATCAGCTTGCTGAGCACAGCCTATAAACTCCTTGCCCAAATACTGCAGCAACGCTTGGCGAAAGGCCTGGATCTGTACCTCAGGGATACACAGTACGGATTCAGTTCGGGACGCTCGACGTCGCAGCCAATACACGTTGTTCGGAGACTCCTGGAAGGAGCAGAGCGCAACGACTGGAAACAGGCCTTTGACATAGTGAACGTCCAGGCGCTCGAGGTGGCTCTTCGTTGGGACGGAGTACCAAACAACATCGTGAACCTGATCACCAGTATATATACCTCACAGCTCTTCACAGTCAAGGCGGCGGGCCAGACCAGCGAGGTCCTTGAGGCCAAGTCCGGAATAAAATAAGGTTGCTTTCTGTTCTCTCTACTTGTTCCTCATCCTCCACAGCATGGTCCTGCACGACGTTGACAAGCAGCTGTCAGAGCATGGAGGCTTTATGCCATGGTCTTCAGCCAGCAGACACCGCTCTATGACCTGGCGTACGCTGACGACACCGCGTTAATCGCGGGCACAGCAGAGAGAGCAGAACAGCTATGATCATGTACGGCATGGAATCAGCTGCCCTGACCCAACCAGACATATACCGCATCGAAGCCTTCCACTCACAGAGCTTCCGCAAAATGCATAGAGTATTTGCAACCTTTTACACCAAGGTGCTCGCGCCCGAACACACAACAACCGCCAATCAGGAACTGCGGAAGCAATCCTCACAGCCCCCACTCACACACCACATGCACAAGGCACAGCTGAAATTTTTGGTCATGTTTTGAGAGCACCGGAGAATTGTTTGGAGGGGAACTGCTGTTTCACGAAATCTTTCTCATACACAGGAGGGGCTGTCGGGTCGGGGATAGGAGGGGAAGGCCTAGAATACACTGTGCCATACAAGCTTGGCACTGGTTTCATGACTTCCTCAACCCACCCACGCAGAGACATCCTCAATTCCCTTTTGTTTTTGTCCAGCTTCACAGGTTAGTCGGGCTGCCCACGTGCAGGAAGTACCTCAAGCAGATCTGTTTTATTGCATGTTCCCAGTGAGCTCACAGCAAGTTCACAGCATGACAGCAAGCTTGGAGTATTGATGCATACGGCTTCACAAAAAAAGTCAGAATGGCAGTTCAAGTCACATGCCTGCTGCTGTCAGTGTTGAAAGAAAACATTTGCGCGTGGAGGCTACGAAAGTTGTACCACGTGACATAAATCCTTGAGTCAAGCCTCCTGATGTTCTCCTCCATTTCTCCAGGATCAGAAGTCTCTGGTTAGCCTCGACGATGGAAGAAAGTTGTGTCCCTTGCACGGGTAGGCTCCGTGGCGAAGATGCAGCAGCAAACAGTAAACAACATCTGAGACGCATGCATGCGCCCTCCTTTGGTGCTGCGCCTTCCCCTGTTGCTGGCAGCAAGGCCAAATCCAGAAGTCATGATAGTTGGGGTGGAATGGCCATTCCAATGATCATGACGCTGTTTGAAAGCATGGCGAGCATACTAGTGGTGAGCGCCTGCCGCCGAAGCAGAAGGGCCGGCGCAGGGACAGAGGGTACAGGGGCAGCTGGGCAGGGTGGTCACAGACCATTCCAGGGTGTGACCCGAACGTGCCGGAACGGTGGTAATCCCCCCCCAATCAGGGAGGGCTATCTGCAACTTGTGCGATTGTCAGCTCAAGCATCATCTCAAAGTCTCTTGTCAATTTGTAACGACCGTAGAAGCTTCACCTACTTGCAAGAGTCCTGGGCGCAAAATGGTGCTAAGTTATTAAGGACAATGCTTTCCGTTTTCTTTCATCAGTTAGTCTCACTGGCCTGGCACCAGTACCAGTGTTAGGAGTGTCATTGGTGTCATTGCATGCCATTGCTCATCATCTCAGGTACTATCACATATGCCGTCATCTCATTCAGACCATCTTGATGCCCAAGAACTCAAGGCAGTGAGCTACTCTTCTCATAGTCTCAAGCTTCTCTACAACCCGTGTTGACAAGCAAGACCAGTGTTGGCTATCACGTGCATGTGGCCTGTATTGGCTTTGTCCAAGAAGCGGGGAAGGGCGAGGTGCTATCAGGCGAGCTGCTATCACTTCCTGAATTTCAAGCTTCGCACGGCTTCTAATTATTTTTCCGGCACTATCTATGACCAGAGCAACAACTCCGGAGCACCTCGGAAAACAAGAAAGATTGCCAAAGTTGCGTTTACGTGCTAGCCGGTAATCGTGACCTTCAGGTGCTGGGAGGAGTCTACGTCCTTGCATGTGTGACCTGGAGGCAGCGCGCCTCCGTGAGCTGTGCAGTACTGACATCAGTGCTTATGTTCCCTGACATGCCCTGCCTTCTCAGTCCTGAAAGCTTCAAAAAGCTGTCAGCTGCCACGACATTGACTCTTGGCAGTACTTGTACAATTGCCACGACCCCATGCTAAGCAAGTCACTGCAAGTCTGTTTTTCAAGTCAGGTTGTCAGCTAGTCTTAACTAGCGTCGTACAGGAGCCCTTGTCAAGGACCATGGATGAAGTTGGCTCTCTGTGTACCTCCGCTGGTGGCGTGTGCGGATGGAGCCATTGAGTTGCCAAATCTTCACGAAGTCAAGAAATGCTGAAACTGTTGAAGCCGTGCATTTTGGAGAGCGCCAAGCTTGAGCTTGAAGGAGCTGCGGGGCAGAGGTGCCCTCGGATCGGCTCCCCGGCTGCGTTGACCACCGCCTCCCGGCCTGACGCAGCGAAACAATGCGAAAGAGCTCATCAAGTTGACATGTAAAAAGCGCCGTGAAAGGCATTGCAGTGACATCCAACAGCATCGCGGGGCTCTTTGTCTCAGAGGCCAACTTCAAGGGCAAGGTTGAGGTCCAGGACTGCGCAGTCACAAATAAGTACTTAGCCTTTTGTAGAAGGCTTCAGTGTTTGAGGAGTGCTCGAGCGGGAAGTGGGAGCATGGCTCGTGCATGACCACGCCGAACAACTTCCAGCACTGGCAATGCCCGGACCACTCAGACACCCCTCAGCAGCCGTCTACACTATAGAGGTTCTACAATTCTCAGCTTATCTCAGCTCTAAAAATTACGAAGCGCTCTGTGAGGCCAGGAGTGTCGTTACAACCCGAACCCTGTTGGAAGCGATATGGACATGGGCTTGGATGATTCGGCAGAGCGAGAGCGCAGCTTTCAAGCAAAGGTCTCTCAGGGGCCAGCATGCGCGCTTCAAATCTTTGAAAGAAAGAGAAGATTTACATAAGGCAATTTGTTATTGTTGTACCTTGTATTTCCTCCCTAGGTATCTACACATCTCTGCCGCGCTTCAAAGTCCTGCTCACCAACGTGGAGTCTCCTGAGGGAGATGTGTTCAACCAGCCACGAATTTTCCTTCTCAGCTCAACGGTTGGAGCCTCAATGCAGGTTTTCTTCTTGCAGTAGGTTTGAGAAGCTCGCGCAGATGCTATGTGTTCGGTGGTTCAGTCGAGCTGCAAGGATTTGCTGTGAATCTAGCTATGTTGTTTGGGAGCATCACAGAGGTCAAGCAGACTGGCATCTGGAAGAAATTGTACATGCCAGATACCGGCAAGTATGAACTCCCAGTGCCGGTAGCGGTGCCGACAAAGTCGCCAGATGACATGGAGGACGAGGAGGCAAAGCTACGTTTTTTTAGTGTCGGGTGTCCATCTTGAGGTTTAGGATGTTGCCCTTCCTTCAGGACGGCTCCACTGTGACCGAGGCATACACAAAACAGGCGCATCCGCATCTGCTGATCTCGAGCTTGCTGCTCTTTGCATGCTTGACGTAGAGAGTTTGAGGTCTAGCCTTTCCTCATAAGCGAAACAGACACCATCACACTGGCACTGCATTTGCCCTTGAAACTTTGCAGCCCGTCTTGCCCCGATCACATGCTCTGTTGAGTTCAGTCCGCTCTTTCCAACAAAGCCTGATTCATGGAACAGTGGATTCTTGAAGTTTCTTGGTTTCTGATTTGTCGCCATTTGGCCCATTGCTTTCTGCTTCTGGATTTCGGATGTTTTCTTCTCCGCCTTGTGCTTTTCGCTTCGGGCTTTCTGCTGCTTTTCCCCTCCACATTTTCCTGGCTTACCTTCTTTCTGCATTTTTTGGACGTTCCCCTATTTATCTTTTGGCTTTTCACTTGCTTCTGCCTTTGGCTGTTAGCTCTGCCGATTGTTGCTTTCTGCATTACTGTACCTTCCGCTTCCTGCTTTCTTCTTTCGCCTGTTACTCTTTTTGTTTCTTTCTGGCCGCTCTTCCTGTCGCCCTCTGCTTGTTTCGTCTTGTTGTTGATTTGTTTCTTTGTGTCCTTCTATTGCCCCCCTCTCAGCTCTTGGGTGGTTGGCGTTTATCACTCCAGGCCTCATTCTTCAGACTGGTCTTATTTGCTGTGCGAATGCGTTGCGGGGAGGCGCTGCGCTCCCATTGTCTTCCGTTCCGTGCCGTGCTAAAGGGTGAGCCAGTATGCGAGCCCTTCCGTGCCAACCAATTACAAGCGGCAGCCATTCACCCCGAGGTGTCAATCATAATGTGAAAGCAAGTGAATAAGCTCCATAAACGATGAGACCTACTTGCTGAAGAGCGTCTGCTTGCACGAGCATGTGAATGTCAAAGCAGGCGAGCAAGAGCAAGGCAGCCTCAATCTAGACGCGCAGGCTATGGTTTTGATGGAGCCTAGTCGGCTGGACATTGACCCTGGCTGGTGCTTCGGGCAACAAGGACCCTTGCCCCTTTAATAGCAGGTCTTTGCGGCTGTGACTACGCCCACCCATCTTAAACAGGTCGACCAGTTTCTGCTATGACCGGGGTTTGTTCAGGTTGGATTTGGAGACCACCCCGTCTGGAACAACATAGCTATGAGTAGTAGCGCCACGAGTTAGGTTGGGGCTAGTACGCGAAGTACCAGGGTCAGAAAGTGGACATCCAGGTCATGAAATATGCGCACACAATTGCAGATAGGCCTTGCGATTCTCCATTGCCTGTTAGAAAAGTTGTCACCTCACCCCCATCGACAGACCCATTTCATGGCCTGTTTCATGCATGCCAAAGATCAGGACAATTCTGAGGCCACTTCTCAAACACATTCTGACAGCAGGATGAAAAAGGCATAAGATCATTCTAAGAGGAAGTAGGATCTTTAAGGTTTTTGTTCAAAGCCGCAAATGCCCTGATCTTGCTTTGTAACTGGTGCGGTTACACACGCAATAATGTCAAGGAGGCAAATGTGAATCTTGACTCTTGCTGCTGAAGTGGATGTTCCGCTTATGCTCTACAGACGGTGCGCGGGCCCTTTATGGCTCAAATGTACACCGCGTTTTCCTCCAGTAGTGGGAACACTAAGACTCAGACTTCCTGACAGCAGAGGGGTATGGTTGGTAAGCGGAGGAACTGCGGAGCTTGCAGATGTGTGTGCAGCACCTGAAGTAGCTATCGCTCCATCCTCCTTGCTCTGGAACCCAGTCTCCTTTTTTGACTTGGATCGTGACGTATGGCTGGACTTGGCTCTAGAGGGATTGGTTCTGCTTTGCTTCGCTATCTCAACACAGACTCCTAAGGACATCTTGGTTGCACAAAGTTCACCGCTACAACTCCTGAGAAACGTTAGATGCTACATTTTGGAATTCTACGTTCTCGCCTGGCACAGATGCCTTGCACTCTGCAGCAACCTGCGAACTCGGCATTTAGTTTGTCATACGGAGTATCATGCCTACCAACTTCCTTAGATTGTAATGGACCCAGTCGTGCCCTTGACCCTTTGCACTTTCGACTTTTTCCGCTGTTCTCCAGCCGGCCACAGGCCACCGGCCACCGGCCGAACGGACACCGGCCACCAGACACCGGCCACCGGCCACTGGACACAGGACAACGCCACCGGCCACCGACCACCGGCCACCGCCACCGACACTGGACAGCGCGATCGTCGTAATCGTCGTCGCCATGTTGTTGTCGTCACAGGCGGCATAACGCAAGAGCCCCTCGTATATTCCCCCTCGTATATTCCCGAGCACGTTAAACCACAATAGCGTTCATGCTCGACTGCATCCGATGACAAGAGCATCCATGCCTAAACCATCATAGTGTTCATGTTCGACTGCATCCGATGACCAGAGCATCCATGCCCAAACCATAACAATGTTCATGTTTGACTGCATCCGATGACCAGAGCATCCATGCCCAAAACACAATAACGTTCATGTTCGACTACATCCGACCTCCGATGACCAGAGCATCCATGCCCAAACCTTGATAATGTTCATGTTCGACTGCAGCCGGGGACCAGAGCATCCATGCCCAAACCAAAATAATGCTCATGTTCCACTGCATCTGATGACCAGAGCATCCATGCCCAAACCATAATAATGTTCATGTTCCACTGCACGCGATGGCCAGAGTATCCATGCCCAAACCACAATAACGTTCATGTTCGACTGCATCTGATGACCAGAGCATCCATGCCCAAACCATAATATCGTTCCTGTTTGACTGCGTCCGATGACCAGAGCATCCATGCCCAAACCATGATGATGTCCATGTTCGATGACCAGGGCACCGCGCCCAAGCCACAATATCCGTAGTTGGAGAAGTCGTAGTCTTCATCTTCGTCGTCGTCGTTGTAGTTGTGGTAGTCGTATCGCCGAACCGGAACTCCGCCGCGCCGACCAGGACACCCGGCCACCGCCGCCGCCACCGCCGCCGGCCACCGGCCACACACCCTCCACCGGCCACCGATCACCGGACACCGGCCCGGCCACCGGCCACCGACGGAATAAGTCTATCCCCGACCCTTTGCCAGCATGGACCCCAACAGGAAATAGGAAAAGACCTGTTCTCCACGCAAGCTCAATCTCTCTCTACTGCCCCGCTCAACGAGAGGAATCTTCTGAATCGGGGGTAATGAAGGTTGCCTGAAAGCTCCAGCTGTTTGCCAGGACCTTTGTACCTCGTGGCTTGCGCTGTGAATGCCAGTCTTTATGAAGATCCGAACTTTGGCAATTTCACAGCAGGCATGTCCCTTGCACAGCAATTGGCGCGTAGACATTTGCTGGTGTCTGGCAGGCCAGCGCGTTGCGCCGCCGCCCTTCAACGACCGCTGTGTGGCCGTATCAGGGCGCTGTGGCGGTGCATGCCAGTCCTGGAATACGGAGCAGCTGCAAAGGCGGGAGGGGTTACACACATCTCAGGAACATCAACACTCCAATCCCCGTATAGTGTTGGACTTGATTGGTGTACGTTGTGCCGTTGAAAACGATTATGTCAGTTGCACTGCCGACGGCTACATCGAACAGGCAGCCCTTGTGGAGCATATTCCACCGTTCCTTTTCTGCAAACATCATGCGCCACATGGTTGTTTGTTCAGCAAGCAAGACCAAGGCAGAAGAATGAAATGATGGCAGTTTGGCTTGTGGCGTTCTTGCTGCTGCTACTCCACTGAAGTTCATGGAACAACCGGACGAATAGGAGTCTTGCTGGCCAGTCTGTGCCGCTGAGCTGTTGGCACCGTGGGCTGATTCAGGCTGGGCTTTGCGGTGAAGGTGGCTGTTCTTTGCCCGGGTATCTTTCGTTCCTACAAGCACTACCGAAGGCGTGACATTCCTGACACAACAGATGCGCAAGTAATCGAGCGAAGCCTTGGGGAGGTTCCATCCCGAGCTCACCCAGCAGCTGCGCAGACCCCTTTGTGTTTTCAAGTCCAATCTCAGTTGAAATGCTAACAGTTGCGGATATGTCCCCCATCTATGTCAACGCAAAGGCTACATTGCGGTGGTTGTGAATACAAAGGATGAGGCTCCCAGCATTGTCCTGCGTAGTTTGATCGGTGACTCGATGCAACTTTTACTCCACGTGTGCAAAGTTGAGGATCTCTCGACAGTTGAATCGAACCTTAGGTGCTGTCAGCGCATTGCCATCAGACTGTGGCTGCCGATACCATGTGGCACTTCTTGATGAAGGCTCCCCAGCTGAGCCTCCCATACAGAGTAGACGGCTAGCAGCTAGCACTGCTGCATTTGAGCTTGCTAGCAGCAAAGCTCAGGCAATTCAAGCATTTTGCAGGTAGGTGTCTTGTGAAGAACTTGTCCTTGGGAGTGCAGGTTGTGGAGGGCTGCATGCAGGGTTGTCGTTGAAGGGCCGCCCATTTAGTTTTTAAAGTCTTGCAGCACTGCAAATGCTGGAGATCCATCGGTAGATGTAAAAGGCCAGTGGCCGCAGGGCTTGGCAGCCAAGCACTTGAGAAGCTAAGCTGCGCAGATGTGAGTACCCCACTGAAGGTCACCGCGCGCAACAGAAAGCACTATGGATAAAGCTCTGCGAGATCTTGCAGGCTATTCCATCAGGACAGGTGATGATGGCCCAGCCAAAGGTTTGTTCCATCCTTGTCGCCACAGAAAAGTCAGTGACGCCCACAGTGACACAGAGATGGCGGGAAACGCAGCACAGCATGGCACACTTTTTATGGTTGCAGCCCATTGGCGCAGGATCTGGCTTCCAGGCCTATGATGAGAGCGTGCGACAGTTCTTTCATGTTTGGGTTGTTCTTGCCTTAGCAGCAGGCCGTAGCTGCATTGATGACGATTGAAGCAGGGTCTGCAAACTAAGGAAGAGACGAACAAGCTGAGATTTGAAGACCTGCGCCAAAGCTTTTACGCTGACAAGTCGCAGGCCACCTTAGAGAAGCTCAGCGGCCAGGCAAGTATGCAAGTGGGCGAAAACCAGTGCCAGAGCCGTAACTGCCACTGACCGAGTCCTCCTAAAAAGATGAGAGGAAGTCCTAAAAAAGCTGCGGAAAGCGTGGGGCTGGCAGCGAGTCAGCTGTGCCGCGCTGGAATCTGTCGATGGCCCGGTCCTGCGAACTTGCATTGCAATGGCTGCTAGCTGGACTTGGATGTCGCCCAAGCCATTGGCGCTGTGTGGAGACTTTTGCTCATGAACAAATCCTTGGATCTCCAGCCCGTGAGTTGAAGCCGGCTTGATTGGTGTTCCATGAAAAGGCGTTTATGCTTCAGTCGCGAAGTTTAAGACTGTGTCTGAGGCAATAGCTGGCCTCCAGGAAGAGCTCCTGGCTCCAGGCACTTTGCTCTCGCATTCATGGTGCAGTGTACGGAGAAAGAGAAGCAGGCTCCAGGCGGTCAGATGTTGCTTTTGGTGGGGCCATGCCAGGTCCACATAAGAACAAATCCTATTTGGATGACCTGGTGGACTGGACGCCCGCAAATGTAGACAGTGACTTACCAGCACTGGACTTGCCGCAGATAGCAGCAGACATCGCAGCAGTCACTTTCTGAGCAGGCATTGCGCTGCGCCTTCACTACCTGGCCAGGGCGAATCCTCCAGAGGAGATTCACAAGCCACGTCAGTGAACAAGCAGATGCGCTGGTCAGCTCTGAGCAGGATGAAAGGACCCTGAAGACGCAGCACGTGGCCCCTGGTACTTGGTACTATGAGGCAGGGAAGGGACTTACTGATGCTGCGGAAGTTTTGAGCCGGATGTACTGACACTGCAAGGTGCCGCAAGGAACTGGCAACGACCAGTGGCTGTCTTGCCGGTCAAAGGCCATACAGATGCTGCATGGTGCCCCCTCTGATTGCTGGCGTCGGAAATTATCATGCAGAGTATGATCTGCCGAGGTCTTGAAGAGATGGATACAAGCAAGCTTCAGATAGCACTTCGTGCCAGTCGTGGCAAAGCAGGCCGGCTGCCAATTCCATCATGTTGTTGCTGAGGCACACCTACAATCAGCTGGGAGAAGCTGAGATGACTCTTGAGGGATGCCAGTCACTGGACCAGGTGGCCTTAACTTTGCAGCCAACTACTTTTTCGTTTATGCTGGTCGCGCCCGAAACCTCTACGGAGACGACAGGGAGCCTTGGACTCTTGTTTGCTGTTCTGGACTTTGAATTTGCCTAGTCACCCACATGCGAGGATCTGCAGCCAGCCCTGTTCAGTGTTTGTGATGCTCGACATCAGTTTCAAACAGATCCTTGGAAGCAATGTCGTGTTTTTGCTACCGTGGGTTTTCGATCATAGCTCCTAGGATTGCCAACAGCTGCTGCCAAGGACTTCTATCATTCCACCATCCCGTATTTCTTCGACCTGCAAGCAAATCTGAACAGAAATGTCCGCTTTTGCCAGTGCCTTCCAATTTGATTTTGTGCGTGCTTGTAGAATCCCGCCTCGCCTTGGATTGCTATTGCAGAGCTGTTGTACTAAGGTGCCCGAAATATTTTCCACATGTACAGGATCGGGCAGATTATTTGGATGCTTGGCAGATCTTGCCGTTGCGTGCGCTTACAAGTGGAGCGATGCAGCCACATACCACTGACTTCCGACCTTTTGCAAGAAGGTGGGGCAGTCTGAAACGCCGAGGATAACAACGATGCACAATATTTCCGTCTCAACTGCATGATCCATAACTGCTGCGGCGGCGCCATCAGGTTGCAAAGAAGAGCAGAGCGCCCTTTTGAAGGTGCCACTTGTCCCATCACAGAAATTAGAAGCCTCCAAGGTCAGTGCCAGCAGCACCAACAGCACCTGGCTCTTAAATCGAAGGGAGCCAGAAGAGCACGACACTCTCATTTGGGAGTTAGAGAAGAGCACTGTCCGCAACAGTCGGACCAAGCACAGACACAAGGACCCTTGCTTGCAACATGGGTCTTGGACGTGAAGGACGCCGCAACAATCCACCCCTGCGTCAGGAATACATTGAATTCCTCACATTTCCTGAAACCTGCGCTGCCGAAGATGCAGCCTTTAGCTTGAAAAAGACGCTTGGTTCTTGTGAGATGACAATCTTTATCTTAATCATGCCAATCAGGAATGACTACTGTATGTCAAACTCAGGATAGTGAATGGCAATCGGTCGCACTTCATTAGTGGCCTGGACAGCCAAGCTTTTGCCGGGGTCTAGCAGCTATTGTGGATTGGAGCAGCTACTCGGAACCACTCCTCCTGCATGCGCCAGCCAAGATTCAGTACAGAGGTCGCATGAGCAGAGAATGTACATTGTACCTACAGGTGTGTGAATGGCTCTGGAGGTAAGGCTATAAAGGGGCTCGCCAGCAGTCAGCTGATGGTGCGAAAGCTTTGCAATTCCATAGGTTTCAGCACGGGATGGGCAACGCAACGACCCTATGTCATGTCTTGATGCCAGAGCAGTAGCAGAGCATTCGAATGAATTATCTAGTTCGCACATCCTCGCCCTTATGTTTCTGTGGTGGCGGGGCATCATCAAATACCTCTAGCAACAATATGGGACATGCATCAGCAACATTATGTATATATGTGTGTGTATATGTATATTTTATTAAACAGTGCGCCAGCTTCCAGACATATCAGCTGTACCGGCACTGCAGGGATACTCTGTGGTTCGGCATGTTGTTGAGCATTGTGGCACTGCTGGGATACTCGGTTCCTATTCTGCGTTCGGGCACTAGGGATGCTCTGCGTTTGGGCAAGACAGGGATACTCGGCGGTTGCTGAATTTTGCGCGGAGGGCTTCTTGCCCTAAACCCTAAAACCCTGTATTGGCGATGCATCGGTTTGCGCGTTTTCTGTGGGCTTGGTGCCTGAAATTGCCTTTTTTCAGGTAGGCGGCTGTCCTACGGTGACTGGGCTACGCTTTTAGAAGAGAACTGTGCTTGCGGGGAGAGAGCCCTTTTCAATGGGTCACAAATCATGACTTTGCGAGGCCTCGCGCTGACACCGGAGGAGCATCTCATCGCGGTGCAGAAGAGCATCCAAGCCAACTTCGTCCTGTCCCTGCAGAGCTTCTTTCGCTGTCAGTCAGGCGTCTCATGATACCACGCCGCAGCATGGAACTGACACCAAGTAGGCTTCGTGCGAATTTTCTAAGAGTTGCCACAGGACTGGTGTCGCTTTGGACGACTTTCATTGCTTTCGCTTGCTTCCTTGCTTCTCTGTTCTGGCAACTTAGCATCAATTTATCACCTAGGTATCTGGCGTCGGGCTTTGGATTACATTCCGCATTCATTTGCCGAGGTTGGTCATAAAGGCCGACCTCGAATGGAAGGCGCGTCAAGAAAGGGAGCGCTGTCAGACGTCAATTTTTGTGTTCTTGGCGTATCCTGCTTTGAGGTTGTTGACTGGGGCTGGCTCCCCAAGGATGCCTACAGCACAGTTATGCAACCTATAAGGACTGCAAGCAAAGCACGCGCTTTTGGTGCTTGGGCTTATGAGAAATGCTTGAAGCATCGGTCAGTGCTGCAAGATGTCCGCTGCTTCTAGTTCTGCAGCATGGCAAACAATAAGATCCGCAAGTAAAGACGAGTGCGCTTGTTTGCTGTAAAATGTTGAGTCAAGGAGTCAGTTTGCTGGAAGCGTTTTGGGGCTGCAGCACGTTGGCAGGAGCTGGAGCCAGGATGCTGCAGAAACTTTGAACATGTTCTTTTCATACGACGAAGAGTGGCTCCAGAGCCACTTGGTTCTTCCAACCCGCCGTTTTGCAGTTCGTATCATATTTTCTTCGGCCATCTTGGCATGATGTCCAACGCTCTTTCGTAGAAATTCGGCCGTATTCTATGTTCTGGAGGATGACTTTGAATTCAGATACTCTCAGGAGCGGAGGTTACTCGTAGTTCTGCTATCCATAAGAAGGACTTGCAAAGCAGAATTGTCACTGAAGTGAACACTGGGGATCTTAGTTGAAGTCAGACGGTATAGTGCTACACCTTAGGAGATTGAGCATTCTACTCAAAGTACAGTACAGGGTTTGTTGTGTATGTTGCATCAGTTCATGTGATCAGTGTCGACGTGTTCAGATCATCCAATTAGGCGAGAGATAGGGCTCAGGTGTTGTCAAGCGCAAAGGGCAAGTCCATACTGGTGGCAGTACGAATACTGAGAAAGTTCATATTACGCGTGCTAGCACGAACCATAGGAATGGCCATGTTCATTCTCAAAGTAACGACCGCGCAACATTCTTCATCATCACAAGCTCGCAGAACTTCTACTGCACGCACTGATCGTTCGCAAAATCTCGTGGGTGATGTGGGTGCTCTGAAAACGAGCTTGTGGTATCAACTACGTAGAAGTGATGCATCACAAGTATTGTTGTTTCGGTGCTGTATGTTCGAATTATAAAAACCTCTATAAGATGTCTATATACGCACACACCCATTTACGTAGTCTTCCCTACAATTCCCTAAATAGACTCCTGAATTCTAGAAATCTCTATATAATCTCCATAGTTTCCTCTTCTAATCATTCCTGTTTTTTTCTGAACGTCTTTGCATGACTCCTCATATCTTATCCTCATATAATTTCATTTCACTCCTTAGATGAACTATCCCAAGGCCCAAGCCCAATCACACCACGACACCATACAGCAGCGTGCAGAGGGGGCATCTGGGGACAGCGCGCAATCATACATGATCCTGGTTCTCGGTTTGCCAGACCCCGACATGACAGCACTGCAACAGGACTTTAACTACCTCAATCAGGCACAAATTTACTTCATATTACACAGCTGTCCGTTTGTCTGCTGTCGTTGGCTCTCACGTGAAACTGAGCGAATCTACAGAAAGAGCTAACTTACAGGCTGGCAAGAGAGCTCTCTCCTTTCGAGCCCCTGGCGCATCCAGGGTACTCACCTTAGGTGGGTGCTTCTGTATGGACAGAGCCCTTCACCCGGAGAGAGCTCCGCTACCGATACCTCTCACACAGAGTACAGTGAGGCAGGCGAACGGTTTCTCTTTTCTTACGCGCTAACTCGAGAGTACAGGGCCTCTAGAACTTTCAGAACGTTCACAACGTGTCGTTTGTGCTCACAAGAATTGTACATGGACATGACAGCACTGCAATGTAGTCAATGTAGCTAACTCACCCCCCCATGGTATCCCTCCTGCCCTCCCCCAGTGCTTCAAAGGTGTCAGCAGTCACAGGGATGGGGCCTTGGGGGTTGCCTTTTTCGTAACTGTTTTTTTTGACACTTCAAATCTTCCATCCTCGTAACTGTCACAGGGATTCGGGCGGTCCCCACCACGGCCCTCCCAACTCGCAACTCTCATGGCTTTTGAAGCCTCATGTTGTTTTCGCGTTTTGACGGTAGTCAGGTGTCGGCGTGGCTTTCATCTTGTATATGCTTTCTATAACGCAATAACTGTTGTAAGTCTGCTGGAAATTTTCTACGACTTGTTAAAAACCGCCAGAAACGGTTAACAATAGCTTCGTTAAACCTTCCATAAACTTAATGTAAACCGCGAGACCCAGACCACAGCCCACAGGACCAAAAGGGGGTGGGGTAATAGGTTATAAACCCTCTACAGACACTAGATCCTTTACAAGCCGTCATTGAGACCAGAAGACCCAGACCACAGGCCACGGGACCTTTTTTGGGTGTGGACTACTAGTTTCATCCTAACTTGACCCCAAACCCCCACCCACCACAAGGGGGTTGAGGGGGAAATCTCAGGTTTCCCAACCCAAAACCACCAGCCTTACCGTAGGATGGGGGATCCTCTTTCCTGAGGGGGCAGGGTCCTAGGGTTGGTGGACGGTGCTGGAGGGAAGGGTTCGACAAAATGGGTAGGTCTGGATTTGTTTATGGAACATTGCACTGTTATGCGACAGCTGTCAAAACTGGAATGGTTGGATCAAACCCACTTGAACATGCCTTCCCACACCAATTTCTGCACAGACCCCCACTGACGCAAATGGGCCTGGAACAATCCAAGAAATAAGATGGACAGTGACCGTCTCCGAGCGACCGGTCACAAGTTGCACTGTCGGCTGCTACACCTTGCCAAAATGTCACCAAAAGAAGGCAGTAAGTACAACCCTAGCCCGCACAGGCATTGAAATTGTGGGTCAATGTCTTCTTCATTCATTCACATCTACTCCAAGGCTTTATTATCATCACTCTGCAGATCGCGGCCCCGGCCTTGGCGGTATCAACTCCCGGCAGCAAGCCAGAGCAGCTTTGCGCTGAGCATTCGAACGACCAAAAGCAAGGTCTGGGTGGCAAGCTTGGGAGCCTGGCTCCTGCTGATTGCAATCGTCACCCAGACATGCAAAGTGATTCAACGTTGCTGCAGCTTGGCTGCAAGGCTGAAAGCGGGGAATTTTGACTTGAAAGTGAGGGCGCTTGACGATGCTGATGACAACCATAACAAGCGCCCACAGTGGGCAGGGTCAAATTTTCACATGCAGCTCAACAAAGCAAGAGTAGAAATCTATAAGGGTAGCATTGACAGAGCAAGGTTTGATGCAGCTAGCTGTCGGTACGCTCTGGTGCAACCCACCACATGCCAAGAGCTCCGTTTTGCTCTGACTCACAGTTTTAGCCAAGTTGCATCAACATGTGCTGCTCTGTCCTTCTTGATGATCGGAACTGCCATAAGTTATTTGCCGTGCCTGAGTCTTAGCCAAAGGCGGTACACATGTCCCACTAGCAAGAGTCGCTGCCAACCGCCAGAGTCAGAGAATGGCGCGGAGTCTTCATCGCATGAGTCAGCCTAAGCTCAGGCTTGAACTGCGGATCGGTTTGGCCCGATGAAATGAGATGGTGGGGCAGGCTTGCCTGGCTTACTATCAGCCCATTCGATGAGGCTCTGAGCGCGCGCAGTGCAGGCTGCTTATTATGGTCTCCAACCTCTCACATTTTCTTTGGTGCTGGGTGCCGTTCTTTTGGATAGGCACAGCCGGGTGCCTTTGCCATGCTTTGTTTGCAGCATGATGGGGGACCACACGTTTTACGCAGGTTTCAACTTTTACAACGTTTTCAGTGGCAGATCCCTGACAGCATTGAACTGTGCATCCTTTTTGGGGCGTTGAATGTTGCTCGTCGAAGTCAGCGTGGCTTGTCAGCATTTGTATGGCCCAGGAGACTTCCATTACCCGCCAATTTTAATGTTCATCTTCACGCTCATCCTGCAGGCTCCAGCGGCATTTGGCCAAGTAGACCTTTAGGTTTGCCTTGGCGTTTGGTTGCGAAGAGTGTGTGAAATCTGAAGCAACATTCCAATGGAAGGTTTTGAACTGGGGTCTCATGGGCGCAAGTTGCATGCGCCACTCCCTGGAAGCGAGTATGGAAGCAAATGAAGTGGTGCCTGGAAAGCAGTCTAAGTGAAGCAGTCTGTGGGAGAATGTGGGAAGTGACCAAGTCAAGGCTATGCTGACGATCGACAACATTTGGAGGTCCACGCAGCGCGACTTGGCCAAGCAAAGCCAATCTCACAGCCAAGACATGCGCCTAGACATGCGTGTCACAACATGAGGATACTACATCACCGCTCCGTTGGTGATATACTCCATGGTGGAGGGCTTGCAAGATGTCTTTCGATATCATCTGTATGGCCAAGACGTCACAGCCAGCAGCTAAGGGGGAACGAGAACTTTGCCTTGTGCCACTTAGACTGCTTCTTGCAGGTGAATGAGGCATCAGGGAAGATTGCAGTGCACCTCGTCAAGTACTGGACTCTCTTGCTGGAGATTCTGGCGATAGCTGCGTGGATCTGCTTCTGCAATCTGGTCTCTATAGAGAGTGAAGGCCTGGCCGGCCCTGGCCCTGATGGTTGGTGATGAATGTATGATTGCTGGCTGTTGATGATGGGCGCTTGCATGCTTCTAGGCGTGCTCGGCTGCCTCTGGTTGCTCGGTCGTCCCATCTCGTCCCTGTGGCAGGTGGGCTCTCCTCTTTGATCATCGTCACGGTGATCGCATTGGATGTTCTGCATCCCTGCGCGTATTTGTGGGTTGGCGAGACGAAGATGACGCCAGCAAAGGCAAGCTCTCTCTCTTGGTACCAGGCAAGGTGTTATGTCATGGGAAACAGGGCAGTTGCTAGTGCGACACGGCCATGCCTCAACAAGTCAATAGCAGCTATAGCACCTTTGAGTGTTCTGCAGGCTTTGACAACTTGGGAATGGTGGGAGCGTCTGCTGCATGATTTGATTCTCAATGACTTCGCGGCTTATTCCGCATGTAAGCTTGAGGCGCAAGCTTCGCGTGTAGCAACGGCATCCATCCTGCCGTGTCTCATCAGGTAGCAAGTATCTTGAAGTGGCTGGGGCCGGCCTGGATGATTGCCATGCCTTTGCTCACCCTGCTCATGCCGTACATTGGTGTTAACCAAGCTTCTTGCCTGCCTCTAGTAGCTCTGCCATGCTGCAATGCTGTTGTGACTTCTCATCCGGCATGCGCTCCTAGCTGGGAGCATTCTCGCACCTCACATGTTTTCATTGTACTTATCTGCGTCTCAGCTGAGGCATTTATGTTGGTCGCCACTGTACAGAATCGTTAGTACTCGCTTGTTTCGCCATGCAAAAAGGTGCTGGCGCAAAGTCAAAACATTAGTAGGCTATGCAAGAGTGACAGTGAAATCGAACTGAGAGCCGCCCATCCTGGCCGTGACAGCCTTGTTGCTATAGCGTAAGAAACAAGCAGTCTGTCACACAGCGCATGCACTTCGAACGAGCTCATGTTGATAGCAAGGCAGTCCGAGTGAAAGGGGCTACGTTCCACTTTCTCACCTTCCAGCAGATAATCACCAGCAATAGGGTAATAGGCAAATAGCATCATGAAGTAATCTCTTCGCGAATTCTCTTCCTAGTCTTCCTCTGAACTTTGCTAGGAGGTCCCCAAACAAGGCTCTCAGCAAACTGACGGCACGCTGCTGCGACACTTCCAAGAAGCGATCTTCATGCCGCGGCTTGTGGCCAATGCTGTGAGAGTCGTGGACGCTGGCAATTTGATGCTCGGTTGTTCAATTGTGGTGGCTACCCTAGTTCAGGCGGGCTATCACTTCACAGCAACGTGCCGGCAAGCAGAGTTATAAATGAGCAGAGATCAAATCCTCTAACTGGTGGGGAACCCTCAGCGAGTGGCGGTAAGGAGCTTGCCGTAAGCAAACGTGTGAGTTTCGTGAGCTGCCGTAAGCAAAATCGTGCCGCATGTTGCGCCGCAAGCTGGCGTAAGCTCTACGTTGCCAACGTAAGCGCCGTAAGGATTTGTTAAGAATTGTTAAGACAAACGAGCGCCGTAGGCTAAACCTTGGGTTTCGTAAGCCACCATAAGTAAATTCCCTACCGTCAAAGAAACCGGACAAGAATTTTGACCCCCGCTCAAATGGATGTCAGGGGTCCTTGCAGAGTCCAAACTCGACACCTTGGTGAACGTACTAACTTTGTGATAGGGCCATCAACTGGCATCCGCGCTATTCGATGCCGTGGTTGCATCTCGATGGTGTACCAGATGCGCCGGAGCTGGATGTTGATAGTCACCACCCGCTGATCAGATGAGATATGGAGACAGAAGACGGGTACTGGTGTGAATGGTGTGGGTCGAGAAACTCGCGGCATTGAGCTGGATGTGTCCGAGCTGCCGATAAACCCTACAGTTGCTGGATTGGTGTCGGATGGTGTTGGAAGGTTTTACAGAGAGTTATGCAGTGTAGACCAAAAGAGTCTTACGACACGTTGCGCGGAAAGCTAAAGAAGTAGCGGGACGACGAGGCAGATGCGGGTACAGGGGATGGGATGGCGGCGTTCAGACATTAATCTGCAGAGATGGGGACGAATGCCACAAAAGGGCAACAGGCATTCAGGGCTCATCACAAATAGCCGTCTCATCAGCTTCAGCACTTCAAGGAGCCGCGGACGGCGGTCAAGGCTAGAAAGAGCATTTAGATGGCTTGGCATGGGCTGAGCACCGAAAGGGGTGGTCAGCCAAGACTTGATCGGATCACAGTCCAAGGGTGTGAGGAGGTCGTGCTGTGGCGAGTTTTGCAGAGATGCGGCGAAAACATTTGTGACGATCACGACGCGAAATGCAGGAACGGCATGTGCGCATGCAGTGATCACGGCTTAGCTGCGGTTGTGTGCATGTTGTGTGTCTGCCTTTCATGACATCGTCAGGATTGAGTGTGGATGTAGCAGGGCTGATTTGATGCAAGGGTTTCCGTGGATTTGTAAAAAACCGTGAGGCGTTTTTCGCCTTCAGTCCTTAGGATAGACGGTGACATCTTGGCCGAGAATGCCCGACCAAACTGGATCGGGCACAAATAGCGAGCACACAGTAGAGTCAGTAAGGTGAATCAAACCAGGGAACATTGTGCTACGGGACGCTAGGGGAAGGTTGCCAAAGTTGAACAAGGCTTACTGCCACACCATCTTGAAACTGGACAGACGGGAACGATTGCTCTACGTATTTTGATCCAGGGCGATGCGTGGCACAAGCCTTAGCAAATTTGGGTGTTGCTTCCAACAATGTGGCAGAAGTCTATGGCTTGCTGATTGAGCTTTGATTTGTGGTGCCCTGACCTGCCGGGTGCGGGCAACAGAGGGTTGGAAAAAAAATCCTAATCCCTGACATTCCATGATGGGGACGCCGTGGTCGCAACACACATTTGCTGACTGTGACCAGCTGTGGGGTCAGAGCAGTGGGAGATGTGGGGGACAATGCTGCTTTTAGCGTTTGCGCAGCGTTTGCAATTTTTCTTCAGCTCGGGCAGAAGCAGCCTTTTTCAATTCGATTCGTTTACGGGAAGAGTTTACTTTTGGTTCTTGCAGAGCTGAGGACAATCGACGAGCTTGCGGGGAATGTGGCCAGCAACGACGACCGGATTAGCATTGCACATGTCAAGGTGGGTAACTTTGTGCTTGGTCTGCTCATCTTTTCCTGAGATGCAGCGGACGGCGCATGCTGTCTGCTAGAGTGCTGAGCGCCTTGCTGATGTGAGAGAGTGCCCTGACCTGCTCAGTGCGGGATGTTGGAAGGTTGCAAACGAAAGGTGGGTTTAATTAAGCAGTCTTGGCATCAAGTCTATCTGCAGGGCATCGCACGTCCCATGACCGCTTTCCGCTTTGTTCATGCTTGGTGTGCAGCCATGGGCAGATAACGGCGCCAACAAGTGAGCCGTGGCTGACGTTGCACTATGACGAGTGGATGTGTGTCACCTTGGCTGCAGTATGCTGCAATCTCTGTATCACCTCCAGGTTGGTGATGTCTATGAGCAAGGTCCAGGTGATGTCTAGGATGACTTGATTGACTGTCGATGTCAGAGTGTCAAGTCAGCCGCTTCTGCAGGAAGTTCTCCGTAAGATGTTTGTATAGCCGTGTTCCTTGGTTGTTTTAGGTGTTGACGGGCCGCATGGCGCCAGCCTCAGCTTTCCAGCTCTCCGGGCCTGCACACAGCAACTCACACGAGCTCAAAAAGTCATCGCCTTTTGTGAGAAGCCAAAGGTGCTATTGCACGGAGACGGCGCCAGCATGGAGGTGGCAGCTAGGGTTGCGGTTTCCCGTGCCGCTCTGCAAATCTGGTGGCATGTACGCTGAGGCCGTTGGGTATATACTGCAAACTCGAGGCCCATTAACTTGGCCTATGAAACAATTCGAAAATCAGCATAACATCTTGTTATGCCCGATCGAGAGCCTCAGCCACAATTTGACGTTCGCCCGGCAAACCGAATGATGTGCTTGAGAGATCTTGAGGGGAAGATACACGTCTTTGGTGTTCAGTCCACATCTGTATGCTGGTTGGCCAAGCTCTCTGTGCAGGTCTTGGCTGGGCAGACCGTCTTCATCGAGAAAGGTGCGCTCAAAATCTTTTCGATGGCTGATTTTGGCACAAGCCCAGCAGCACTTTTGCAACCTGGCGTCGAATGCGTCAACTGCAGGCGAGAGGTTTCAGCCGACCTTTCCCGACGGTGGGACAGAATACATCCCGGTCGCTTGTCATGTTAAGCAAGGTTTACCCAGCCAGGCCGAAGCACAGCACAGAAGGCACCAGTCCCCAGCCAACAAGGTGTGTGATGCTGTAGCAACGCTGCTAACAGTATGATTCAGTATGATCATGGCATGCACAATGAGCAGAGCATGCCCGGCACAGCTACTCTCATCACAATATACAGGTGTGCTTGCCAGCCTTCCGACCAGACCGCTGCATTCGTGAAGAGGAGGCGGACAGCCGGAACCCTAGACTCTGGACATCTGCGAGTGACATTAAACCGGCCTGGTCTGCCAGCTTGGGCCAGGTGCGGTGAGCACGAAGCTGCAGCAGCTGCATGGAGGTCTTTCGCCAGGGGGTCATGATCCCAAGGCTGTTTCAATTAATGAGAGGCACTATACCATCGCATTGCTAGCACAAGAGAAGGACGGCCACGTGGCAGCGTTGATCCGCTTCGTCAGCGCATTTTCAGATTGAGCATCTGAGTTTGGGACCCTCCATGCTATTCTGAAAGGTGGAAGCAAAGGGTATCCAACTGCACAGCAAGATGCCGCTGCTCCTGAGCCTTGGATGCTATGCTGCCAGGTCGGGCTGATATCTGAAGCTGCTGGGTGAGCTTCCCGCAGCCAAGGAAGTACTCTATCACATGCACCTTAGATGCAGTTTGTGATGGCCCGATGGATAGCAGCTTTTATCCTTTTGAGGTGTCAGAAGTCGTTGTGGGACGAGGCCAAGAATGCAGCAGAGGATGTTTGGCTGCAAGAGACAGCCTTGCAAAACTTGAACGATCTTCCTCGTGAAGCTCAGAAGAGCTCAGGCCTACTTTCCACCGACATTCGAGGCAGACGGCTTTACGCATCCTCGCCTGCAAGGTATCTGTGCTTGTTCAAATTTCCTCCTGTGCCATTGAGAATTGACTGGTCCTGTGACGTGACCAAACAAGGCATGCCACTGCAGTTCCCTCGCGGCTGCTGGAGACGGCCAACCACTTCTATCAGGACTCCAACTCACCCCAAGCGGCAATCGCTAGCTGAGATGCTGCATGAAGAAAAAGAGTCTTGCTTCCCGGACAAAACTCCAGGATGTCGCTGGGGAATGGCTTTGCCTTCGCTTCCGCCGTTCAGAGCTGCGGAAGCTCGGTATCATCACAAAAGACGAGCAGGCCTTTGGTCTGCATGAACCGTTCAACGAAGCCGCTGAGGGTCTTGCTGAAAAGGAAGGTTTTTCAACTACCAGATCTGCCTCCAAAGCTCCACAGACAGGAAAGCATGCGTGCTGGGAACGGGTATCGATTGGTGCTAGTCGGGGGGTGAGTCTACGACCTTCGCCTGATTATCTGCGGGGGAAGTCTTGGACGCAGTCTAGGGCGAGGACTGGTTCTTCTGTAATTTGCAGCGTTCATCATTCTTTGGCAGAGGTACTGTAGTGCAAGCTCTGGTAGGGCGCCGCTGAAGCTTTCTGTTTCCCCAAAATCGGCAAATTCTGCGCGTTTTCCTTGTCTTCAGTTTTCATGTGCAGGGTTTCTTTTTGTAGTAGAAGCTATGCTTCCTCCTCGTCATTATTGCTGCAGAAGCGGTGATCTCCACGAGGTTGTTACGGATGGGGACTATAGGGCCAGGAAAGTCAGATTTCCCAAGCTCATTGCGAGTTGAATGCAGTTCCGGGCCCTGTGCCGCAGCAAGGTAGTTGCCTCGTGGTGAAGACGTGTAGCTATTGAAAAATGTGCATTTCTGAAGACCAATCTGAAGCATGCCTCCTGCAGTGCCACATAGCTGTTCATGGACTCGTTTCTGAAGAGTTTCAGCCAGCAATCCCCGCACCCACCCATCCCCCAATCACCCAATCACCCAATCCCAGAACAGGAAACTATGATAAAGCCAGATACCGCCGATCCGTGAAATCTCGATGTTTTCTGGGCCAACGTCCTGGATCTGAGCCTTCAGAAGGGTCAGTGAGCGCAGACCCATGGGACCCGGCGCTGTCAAAGTCATTCATCATGAAGGGAAGTCAGGGCTGAGGAGTCAGGAACCAGGAAGGCGAG